TATTATTATTATTATTATTAAATATTAATTTTATTTTGAAATCAATTATATGTATTTTTTATGCAAATAGCTACGTCTTTTTACACATTAAGAATTAAATTATTTACAATGCAAAATTGTGTTTAACTATCAATCTCTACAAAATTTACACTTTTTTTCTAATGAGATCAATTGCATTTCAATCCCTCATTTGAAAAATAGATTATTCACTCTGCTTTTAAGCTCAAATCCATTAAATACTATTTATAGACTAATTCTTGGTTATGAATGTAAATTTATATATGATAATCTAAAACAGTTTCTCAAAAAAATAAACTACTAAATTAATTCAACAAATTATCCTCAGACACTTTATGATTTTATTATATAGAGTTATTGATTTTATTACTTTTCTGATTTTCTCCCTATTTTTATCTTATTAATGAATTTACCTACAATTAATGTTTGATATGTAATGAATCAGTTATCATGTAAGAAACAGATGAATAATTTGAATAAAAAATATTTGAACACAATCTTATCCTTTAAACATCTTCAATCACAAAAAAAATTCTAGACCAAACTGGACTAGACATCTATTAATTATGAGTGCGAAAGACAATCTTGTCCACTATTAAATTAAATTGGTATGAAATCCATAAATGATTGTGATTAGGTTCAAATTAATACTTTTAGGATTGCTTATTAAAACTTGATAAAATTCTTCTAAAAAGCAATCAACATAAAAGGAATACAGGATTATCTTAAAAAAAGTTTTATCATAGCTTGATAATATGCTTTTTATCGATAAAATAAATTCAATTTCAGATGAAATAATAATAAAGTTCCTTTAGAATGAAGAGTATACACATGACAGAATTACAGCATCTAGACGTTAGCAGAATAAACTGATATTTATTATTTACTTAATAAGCCAGTTAAATATCACTTTAGATTGAAAAAAATAATTAATAAAAAAAAATGAAAAAAGCGCAATTCGATCTGCTTTGTTGTATGTAGCTTCTATAATTGTTATTAAAAAATCTGAATTACAATTTGACTTTTCATTTGCTCTTACTTTTAAGTTGGATTTAGAAATAAGTTGTATTTCAATCCTACCATTTCAGGATGTATTATCAGATATAATCGAAATAAACAAATAGAAGTTTGATAAATTAAGAACAAAAAGGTATTTATAGGAAAAATCGTTATAATCTGCAGGAAAAATTAATTAAAAAATTTTGGACTACATTGAAGTTCACACATTATTCTTGAATTAGAAATTTTTGGGAGATACAAAGTTTTTAGAAAAATTTAAAAAAGAATAAAGATTTTAACCTGATGGATATAATTAGGAGACCAAATAATTTATATCGAATTTTTATCTCTCAGTCATAATATCAGTCATAATATTTATAAAGGAATCGATCTTCTCCTCAAAATAAATACGGCCATCTTTGGAAAGCTAAGCAGCAAATCGTAAAAAAGGCAATAAAATACAACTTTTCCAGCTCTATTTGAAATATTCTTCGTTTATTTTGAATTCAATTAATATAAAATAAATAACAGGGTAATCAAAAATTAATTCACTTATTAATAATAATTTTTTTCAAAAGAATAGTAAATCTTAATTATAAATAATAGAAACAGAAGCAACGAACTTGTTGTACTTTTCGAACAATTTTTTTAAGATTATCAATTTCAAATAAATTTTTTATTTAATACTTTCTTGATTTTTAGCATGTAATCTAAATGCAAGTGCTGTCAAGACATTATAAATTAATAAGTCTTAGTTCTTATTCATATTCCAAATTTCTAGAAAAAAAATTCAATAAGAAAGTTAAATTGAATATTAATGTGAAAAGAAGTTCAATTCTTTTATTATTACCAATCTATCAAATCATAATCTTTTCAAAAATAATTGAAATATGCTTTAAAATTAATAGAAGATAAAATAGTTAATCTTTCAAATTAGTATAAAGTGCATATTTATTTAAAATTGTATATAATTAAAGACATATAATATTGAATTAAATTAATGTAAAATATTCTGTCGTATTAAATATTGAT